GGTCCTTCGACACATACCTTGATGGTTGCAGTCTGAGAAGGCATGGAAACCAAGTGCTTGTACAAACTCAGGGTGACACCACCTTTGACCTTGATGGCAAAACTGATTTCAGACTCTGTTTCGGTAATCATCGTAAAGGGATGGGACTGCCAAAAGCACAAAGGCGTCATGAAGGAGACAAAGGCATACTGACCTGGCTTTGCGTTCCAGTGTCTTGGTTTTGGCACCGTCACCTTCAAGGTTTCGCCGGAAATCAACGTAACGTTGGCATCCTTGATCCCAAATCTGGCAATGCTCAACAATCTCACCGCTCTATCCAATACCCAAAGCCCAACTACAGACCACGTGAATCCATCGTAAGAGTATGGAACAATGTGGAAATGGGTCCCAATCAAAACAAATACAGCAAACACGATGTGGATGATCAAGAAGGTTTCATATGACTTTCTTCTCAATACAAGCATGCCTTGAATCATCATGAACCCCATCAAGATTGTAGCAACAGTACCCCAAATCACAGCTTCCTTCTTCATTCTTCCAGAATACTTATCGGGGGAAATACCAAAGGCGGAAATGGAAATAGCAACTCCGTGGACGGTAGACAACAAAAAAAACATTCTCGAGACATTTCTGTGGTAGATATTGAACCTAGAAAAGTTCCATCTGGTGATGTATATCAAGAAGTTGTTTCTACCAGCAAACAAGATAAGCATGGGGTACGTAATGAGGGCAAGGACACCGGTTCTGTCGGAGACAATTCTACCAAGCTCAGCCATTGGACGTTTCCAGATTGGGTTGCCCTCGACGTGCTTGTAGCCTATGGAGCTGGCTAAAATCATGTATGTCCAGAGCAGAAAGACAATAATGGATTCCATTCTGGTGGGGATGAGCGCCACCGGAACACCGAAAAACTTTAACGGCACATTTCTGTCCTTCTTGAAGGCCGCAGTGAGGGTGACGTACTTTCTAAACCACTTGGAGGAGGTGCCATTGAACTTTTGGGCAAATCCAGGGAAAATGACGGTTGTCCAGTTGACAATAGCGGACCCCAACATGAAGAAACCCATTAACCCGTAGAACCCGGCACCCAAATTGAGAGCTAAGGTGAAGTTGTTCCATCTGACGTAGTAGGCTTTGTAGTAGGTCTTGACCTTCTTGGACTTGACCGTAATCGGAGAGTAAGAAATAAGGGAGGAATTAAAGTCTGAACCGGGGGTAATGATGTATTGCGACGCATTCTGGTACACCTTATCAAAGAACTGGGCATCCAACGTGGTGTTTGGGTAGACTTCTGAACACTGGCGTCCAAGGTAGCTGACCATCTTGTTGTTGTAGTAATCGTTCGTATGCAAGCACGTTAAAAGGGAACCCATTTCGGGAATGTTGGTGCAGTAGCAGGCACCGACAATCTTTGTACCCTTGCCTTTCTTTGCACAGAAGGTGGTGGATGCTTCAATCACACCGGTACAAGCCATGACAGCGTATTCCTCACTTGTGTATCTGTGATAAGGAGACTCACAGAGAGCAGTACTCATAGAAAGAGCCGCCATGGCCATAAGAGCCGATGTATACTTCATCATTGCTGTCTGAGAGATGGGGGTAGGAGTAATGTAAATCCGTAAGTCACCAGTCCGGGAGGAAAATTGATTTTCGAGACGTATTAAATAATGGGATTGAACATCAAGTTTAGAGTAGGAGAGACGTTCTATTTATATAATACAGTCATACCAGGTACCAATGGAAATATTATTTTTTTTTTAAAAAAAAAGGCACCACCGGAGGAAGGTGTCTCTCCGGTATCGGGAAGAGCTATAATCTGCGAAGGCCGCAGGGCCATGATGCGTAGATGCCGCAGAAGCCATGCGGGTCGTAAAAAAAGGTGCATGGCTCTTGTAAGCCGTACCAGCACTGAAACAATATACCTATAATACACAATGTCAGATTCTTTTCCGTGCCGGGTCCGGTTGCCTGTACTGTTTTCTGTCATCTTTGGAGATCCATCAAACGCTACGAATAAGAATGCGCGCACCCTAATCTCTGACCTTGAACCTAAACTATAAACGCTCAGTGAGGTCGCCTGGCGTTTAAAAAGTCTGCAATCGGCACATGCGTCTCTCCCAGGTTGACATTCCGTTTGAACAAGCTATAGACTAGGAGCGGGGCATTTCTGCTATCCCAACAGATCTGCAGTAAAATATAAATTCTCGGCGACATAAAGGTGTCTAAGTTTGAGTGTCTGCATGCATTTGTAACAGGAAAAAACGAAAGCATTCAGCCATCTTTGAATGGGAAGCTAATCAAGACATTCACAGGAGTCACAGGCTAGAAAAAGCGTGCAGCACAACTAGTCCTCTATACAGGAGAGGGCTCGGAGATGTCTGAGTTAATGCAAGGGCCATAAAGTATCCGGAACGAGGGAGCCATACAGTCCTAACACATCTCTGATAAGATACGGACATAACTAATTTTCCCAGGGTCTAATATTGGTACTAAGGCGATTCAGACAGCGCTTTCAACCTTAGCAAAGAGCTTACAAGGTCTAACGAAAAAAATATACTAAACCTTCGACCTGTACCACTTTCACTCCAATGGTTAGTGGCCTGAAAAGTGGTATAGATGAGAAAATTTTCAGTCAGAGAAATTGTCTTGGCACCCTTGCATTATTGCATTTGTTGGCCACCCCGCTATTGAGTAGCTTGGCCGAGGTAATTGCGTGTTTTCACACTGGCTAACCAGGTAAAGCTTGACAAAGTGCAAGTATCTTGGCAGGATTAACGAGCGCTGATGCTCGTCTCAGAGCTTGGTCTCAGCAAATGGAAGTAAGCTGCTGAATCGACGTTGACTGGCTAGATGCTTAAACCTGGAAGCTTGTCAACCAAACAGCGAAATATTTCGCGATCCTTTCCGATACCTCCGCCGTGCATGTAGCAATGCCTATTTTAGATTTTTCCTGCATATCATTTCGCCTACACCAGACCGTTTCAGCTCCATAATATTTAGCACTTCAACGATCAAGTTGGAAGGTTTAAAGGAATAAGTCGGTGTGTATGATGAAACTCGGCTATACCACTGCAACAATTTTATATATTTACTCAAGCTCAAGTGAAAATATGGTGCATGCCAGATCCCGTTCTTCGAGAGAACTCGTTTATAAAAGGGTCCAAAAAATTAGGTCACTCCAGTCTCTAGCTTTATCTATACCTCGGTTTATCCACTAACAATTTCAGAACACGCCGTCTTAAACGTTGTTATGGTCAAAACCTAGCCTCAAATAATTTGGCTTTGGGGATTAATTCAACAATGTACTGAGCGGCTTACCAGGCTATAAAGACCGTGTACGCTAAAATACACCAGCTGACTCCGCACCAACCACTCCTTTATGAGAGTCTCCTCACCAGCCTGTGATGACTCTCTAGATACTTGACAAATTTTCACTGTTAAACATGGATATTCAAAAGCAGGCATTTTACACATCCATTAACCAGTCAACATATCCTTTACCAGGAGATTTATTCATTAGAAACAAAACAATCTTCTCGTACTCAACTACATCCGTTAGCAACAGGTAAAGTTGGTTTCCAAATATCCTAACAATGCCCCCTTGAACCTATATTCTAATCATTCACAGCTTAAGGTGTATAATGAAATATCACATCTATTAATCTATAGCACCATATGGTGATCACTCAAGCCCAAATCTGCAACTCCTCAAAGTAGTCCACACGATGGGTGGTTGCATCCAAGTTGTGCACAACGGCATAACGGACCGAATCAACCATGCTATCGTGTCCACAAGTGACAACCGCAACGCTTCC